GCCCTTTGGGCTCCCCCCCCCCCCCCCCCCCCGCCTCCTATTTCTTGAATAGTAGAAGAAAATGGTAGTCAGGTCAGCAGAGATTTTTCCCTAATTCTGCCCTAAATTTGGATATAGCACAGTAGGTGGGACTCTTAACCTTAATTTGATTAAATTATGTCATATGCAATGTGTAGGTCAAAATCAAGCAGAAAACTGAAAACATTTTTTAAGCTATTAGAAACCTATAATTTGATATATTGCAAAGGCCTTTGTGATCACCATGTGAAGTGCATTCTAAAACCATGGAGATCCATTCTGACAGACCTAGGAGGTCCTCAAAGTGACATGGAATATTTTTTCACATAGTGTGGTGGGTTGACACTGCCTGGACACCAGGTGCCCACAAAAGATGCTCTGTCACTCTCCTCCTCAACTGGACATGGAAGAGAAAATATAATGAAAGGCTTGTGGTTTCAGGGTAAGGACAGGAAGAGATCACTCACCCATTACCATCATGGGCAAAACAGGCTTGACTTGGGGAAATTAATTTAATTTATTACCAATCAAATCAGAATAGGGTAATGAGAACTAAAGCCAAATCTTAAAGCACCTTCCCCCCACCTTCTTCCTCCCTCTTCCCAGGTTCAACTTCACTCCTGATTTTCTCTACCTCCTTCCCACAAGCGGCACAGGGGGGAGGAGATAGAGAAACTTCACGAACTGCTCCAGCCTCGGTCCCTTCCATGAGGTGCAGTCCTTCAGGAACAGCTGGCTCCAGCACGAGCCCCCCACAGGGTCACAAGTCCAGCCCGCAAGCCTGCTCCAGTGTGGACTCCTCTCTCCATGGGTCCACAGGTCCTGCCAGGAGAAGGACTTGCAGGTGCCACCCTGCTGCCTGCTCCAGCACAGGCTTCCCACAGGGTCACAGCCTCCTTCAGGCATACCCATCTGCTCTGGTGTGGGGTCCTCCATGGGCTGCAGGGGCACAGCTGGCCTCACCATGGTCTTCATCACTGGCTGCAGGGGAATCTCTGCTCCAGTGCCTGAGCACCTCCTGCCCCTCCTTCTTCACTGACCTTGGTGTCTTCAGGGTTGTTGCTCTCATGTATTCTCACTCCTTTCTCTCCCTTCTTAAATATGTTCTCCCGGAGGCGCTACCACCGTCGCTGATGGCCAGTGGCAGGTCTGTCTTGGAACCACCTGGCATTGGATACTATCAGACACAGGGAAGCTTCTAGCAGCTTCTTACAGAAGCCACCCCTGCAGTGCCACCCCATTGCCCCCGCAACCTTGCCACTCAAACCCAATACAAATGGCTTCCAAAAAGCTGAAGGTGTTAGATAATCTTTATCTAGAAATGTGTATTAGCTTCTTACCTCACTCTATGAACCAAATAATCATAAGAATATTCTCTAGCTGACATGTTCATCCTCCCTAATTTTTCTTATGGAAAAGAGCAGAACACTTGATGATGCCGTGGAGATGCAAATGCTGGGCCATTACCCAAACAATATTACCGCAGCTTTCCATTCCTCTTTTGCTCTTCTTTACTGAACTTGGTTTGTTAAATATTTAAATTGCAGAATAAATCAGGGAATATGGATGGTATTTTTGAATGCATGAAAGTCATTTAAGGTTTCACATTCTTCCAAAGTGCCATAGGTGTTTAAGAGCCTGATAATTTTTTAAGTTATGTGAGTTTAGTTTCCAAGTAACTTTTGGATATATAGTTTAAGCTCAGAATTCATTTAAGTGCTTTTAAAAATGAGCTTGTCTCTTTGTCATTTCTGAGGAAATTTTTTTTATTTTAATCTACATGGAAGTTATAAACTAACGAGTTATTTATTAATAATGTAATAAATACTAAGTTTTTAGGGCTAGCATAATAAATATCATGTATTTAGGGATAATATATCAATATAAAATTCCTTTGTATATATATACTGAGCTTTTCATATAGATTTTCATTTTATTTATTTTATTACAGATTTATGCTCAGGAGGACAAAGCCAGATTATAGCACGAGTCACTCTGCACGGCTTACTGAGGATGTGCTAGCAGATGATAGGGATGACTATGATTATTTGATGCAAACTTCCACGGTATTGTAACATAGGATTTTAGCTGTTTGCTTTGTCTTTCTTTCTTTTTTTTTTTTTTTTTTTTAATAACTACAAGGTTTTGCTTGTAAAAGTTTCAGAAACAGTGTAATTTTCAGGCAAAAATTTTAATTTAAATGTCTGTGGTAATCCTGTACTACTGAAGTTGAGACTGCTGTGTTCCTTTTTTTTTTTTTTCACCTGATTGTCATTCTAAAAGAATTTCCACATGGAAAGCCATAAATTAATTGAGTCAATCTTTGAAACAACTGTTGATAATACCAAACATAAGAGGAAGAATAAATAGTTCTAGAATAATAGAATAAATAGGAAAAAGTCTGTTAAACTAATCGGTTAATGTTCAGGACCATTTGAAAACATCTATACTAATTTTACTCAGCGTTTATTTCACGGAATTCCCAGTGGAAGTTTTGTGCATCTTTCTCAGACAAGATCAGCTCCATAAGCACTCACTGTTCAGTGTTCAGAGGACAAAATATTTCTCTTTTGGATGTATTCTCCTCTTTCTAAAAGGTATCAGATACTAGAAACTGAGTCACCTACAGTATAAAAATTGTGGCTGCAGTACAAAAAGAGCTTACAATGCTATGATGCAGAAGCCTACAATACAAGTGAATAAGCTGTACCTTTAATCTTTTCCATTTCTTGTTTTAACATACGTATTTTGTTGGCTGTATTTTGATTTGTGATTATATTATTTTGTTGCTTTGCTTATGAATTGTACTTGAACAAGCCTATGCTACTTTTGAGGACATGACATATTTTCAGATTTCAGAGCAACAAATTAATTCTGAATCAAACTGGTACACTGGAAACCAGCTACTATCATTTACTGACGTTATTTTTTTATTGACAGTACTATTATTCAGTGAGAATATTTCCTGGTCAAGAACCTGCTAATGTCTGGGTGGGCTGGATTACATCTGACTTTCACCAGTATGACACAAGCTTTGACTTGGACAGAGTGCGTACTGTCACAGTTACACTGGGAGATGAAAAGGGGAAGGTTCATGAGAGGTTGGTTACAATTTTCTTAAAAAGATACATATTTTATACCCATAAAAGCAACTAAGAATTTATAAACTATAAATCCACCCCCTTTAATGTAACAGTGTTGGTGTAAAAAAAAAAAAATAGGAAAAAGTGTAACTTTACTTGTTCTCTCTTCTTGCTTATGAAGAAACAGTGATGTAATAATCTAATCAAATCAATAAGCATTGAAAAGTAAAATAGTGCAGCTTTTAGATGTAGTTTCAGACCATGGTGATGTAAATATTGACTCCTGAACTGGTACAATGTAGAGCAAAATACCTTGTAGTATTTTTGGAAGTTTTTGCTTTTGAGCAGGCCAAAATTAGTACAACTCCCAGCACTTCAGGTTGTGATCCATGCCAGAAACTTTGTGTTGTGCTTAACATTAAATGATTGAAAACATTAACTTGCAAGGTCAGTTTTGTTTCTTGGAAAGATTTGAGCTTGTTCATATTTTGTCATCTTCAGTTTTCATTTTCTTTTCAGTTATGAAGTCTAGATTTCATTGAATTTTGGCATTGGTTATGGTGGGGTCTGCTGTTTTCAGCCTCAAGGCCCTGTTGCTTGCAGGCATGCAAAGTTGTTCTTAGTCCACTAAATAATGTCTACAAACCATACATAAATAAATCTGTCTTTTGACATTCAGTATAAAACGCAGCAACTGCTATATGGTGTGCGCAGGAGAGAGCATGAGCCCTGGACAAGGACGTAATAATAATGGTCTGGAGATTGGTTGCTTGGTTGATGCTGCCAGTGGCCTGCTGACTTTCACGGCTAATGGCAAGGAACTAGGCACATACTATCAGGTGAGTATTTTTTTTTTTTATGTCTTCCAGTGGGAAGGGGGAAAACCGAATCCTCAGACTGCATCTCATTAGAAACTTTTGTACAAGATTGGAAGAAAAAGTAATTGTTGCTGTTATGACAGTGTTTTTTCCCTCCTATTTGGGGTTTTTTTGGTGTTATTCAAAGGCTTGCACTTACTGACTGTCAGTAGAGGTATTAGGATTTTTTTTAATATGTAACAGTGTTTTGCTGTCTTTAGTGGTTATATATTTGTGCATCTTTGATTTAGGTTGAACCAAGTACTAAGTTATTTCCTGCTGTATTTGCTCAAGCTACAAGCCCCAATGTTTTCCAGTTTGAATTGGGAAGAATAAAGGTAAATAATGCTTGATTTTATGCAGGTTTAGGCCTAATTTATCTTTTGGGTTTTTTTTCCCCCTGCAATTTGTTCTTGGTATTTGGTCCATTTTTATGATTCCAAGTTTTTGCACTATTGCCATTTTTATTCTTAACTCAGTTTTAAATACTTCGTGCATTTAAAATACAGTATGTTGGATCAGAAGGGTTGTAACTAATTAGAATTGGCAGAGGATGTTGCAAATTCCCATTGAATTTTCTGAGTCTCAATCTTCATGATGAAATGAAATCACTGAGGTCAGTAAAGCAAATCTCTTATTCTAGAAACAGAGCGTGGATGACCAGCTATCTGCAGATTAGGTTAGGATGTAAAAATAGTTTTACAGTAAATTCAAACAGTACACTCAAGAAAACCGAGCTGAAATTTACTTTCTTGCTTTAGTAAGTGCATGTCTAAGAAATCGTAAGAGGTAAAAGAAGCGTGGAGTTAAGATCTCTGGTCCAAGGAGGTGACCACACATTCCATTCAAGTTTGTATTTCAAATTTACTTTTTAAAAAAAATTAGTTATGGACAATGCTCTCTTGCTGCTAATCTGCCAACAGTTCCCATCTGGTTTTACAAACCATTGAAAATGTTAATTTCATGTTGCACTGTACTTTACTGTACTATATGTTAAATATATTTCTTGAAAAATATTGTATATTCGTTGTTTGGAAAAGATGATGAAACTGATTGCCTCTTCTGTTGGAATTTTCCAGAATGTAATGCCATTATCTGCTGGCTTATTCAAAAGCGAACACAAAAACCCGGTCTCTCAATGTCCTCCACGTCTCCATGTCCAATTTCTGACTCATGTGCTCTGGAGCAGAGTGCCAAACCACTTCTTGAAGGTTGATGTCTCTCGGATTAGTGAACGTCAGGGGTGGATGATACAGTGCCTGAATCCTCTGCAGTTCATGGCCCTTCATATTCCCGAAGAAAACAGGTTGATGTTTGTGTGTTGAAGTATATCGGAGCTAAATTGGGATTATGAAGCTAGTCGTGTAATAAAATTTTGATAAGAAAATCCCAAGGTCTTCTCTCTATTTATAACGTGTAAATAAAGGCAGTGTGTTTTGATTTAGCTAATACTAAAAATTTATCTCTTTTAATTTTTTAAAATCTGCCTCCTTTTGTTGTGTTTCCAACCTCTCCTAGTTTATCTCCAAACCCTTTCATAGTATATATAGGTTTTGAATGATAATGAAAAGAACTCTGTTTATAAATTATTAAAGATAATCTGTAAAATAGGCAAAGATCTCTTTTTGTGAGATTCTTTGAGATTTGTGACCAATATTATTACTCTGTTACTATAATTTTCCTAAATCTAGTTTAAACAATTGAAGAAGTTTAACTTTGTGATTTCTTTGTTACCCAAATGTCTCAGCATTTTGCCAGTGCCAAAACTGAAAATAAAATCACTAAAAAATTGGGTAAGAATTCTGAATAAACAATCTAGCCCCTGAACTGGTTAGTCTGTTGCCATTTTGCAACCACAGATCTAAAAACAATAAATTATATAAATATCTAGTTTTAAAACCTTCATTTTCAATTACCTAAGTTCTTGTTTGTAGTATGAAGTAGTACTCTGTGTTAAGTAAATAATTTTGATCTTTCCCCACTGAAAGTAATTGAAGTCGTGCTTCAGGAGTGGCTTGAATAAATTCCTGATTGAACTTTTTTTCTTAGTCCTTGATTCTTAGGCTGACCGTCTTTCTCACATGAAAGCTGAAACATGGAAAAAGTCCATCCGTAGAACTGATATTGTGCCAATGTTATCCTTAGGGAGAATTTTGAATTTCTTCACTGAAGTAAGTTTTTTGCACTGGTATGGAATTTACTGTATTGTTTTTTTTCCTCTGCAGAACAATTGATATTTTAGAGCTGACAGAACAAGAAGAATTGCTGAAATTTCACTATCATACCCTCCGATTATATTCAGCTGTTTGTGCTTTAGGCAACAACCGAGTGGCCCATGCTATGTGTAGCCACGTGGATGAATCTCAACTCCTGTATGCTATTGAGAATAAATATATGCCAGGATTATTACGTGCAGGATATTATGACTTACTCATTGACATCCATCTCAATACCTATGCAACTGCCAGGTTAATGATGAATAATGAATTTATAGTTCCAATGACAGATGAGACCAAGAGTATTACTTTGTTTCCTGATGAAAACAAAAAACATGGCCTCCCTGGTATAGGACTTAGCACTTCATTAAGGCCAAGAATGCAGTTCTCCTCCCCGAGTTTTGTAAGCATTAGCAGTGAATGCTTTCAGTTCAGTCCTGAATTCCCTCTGGAAATCTTAAAGGCCAAAACCATAGAGATGCTGACTGAAGCTGTTCAGGAGGGCAGCCTCCATGTCAGAGATCCAGTTGGAGGTTCTACAGAATTTCTGTTTGTCCCTCTCATCAAGCTCTTTTATACCCTCCTAATTATGGGAATCTTCCACAATGGGGATCTGAAACACATCTTACAGTTGATTGAGCCCCGGGTTTTCAAAGAAGCAATGAGCCAGGAGGATGAAATTGATTTCTCAGAGAAGGAGCTGAGTTCAGATGAGCTCAAGTCAGAAGAAGGAGAGGAAGAAGCCAGAGGGGAGCAAGTGCCAAAGGAAGGACTCCTTCAGATGAAACTTCCAGAACCTGTTAAATTACAGGTAACAATACTGCTATGATAGTGGTTGTTCCCATTTCTTCACTTGCTAATTTCTCTTTCAAAGAATACAGCATTTTGATGTCAGTTAGATAGAGAAGTAATTTCCTTAAAGGAGACAACAAGATTTGCTGTCTTCCTGATGATATAAACTTATTCACCATAGATCAAACAACTGTTGTTTCATTACATAGAATTACTTTCTCAGCAACATTAACGGGGAATTCTTCATTCTTATGGATCCAGACAGAAGAGGAATTCCCTAGAAGCAAAGAGTAAATCCGTTCTCCTATAACTTTAATAAAAGTCTTACATTATATGTCTGAAGCACATAAATCTCTTGCAGATGCCAGATATTCCTGGTGTAGCATTACTTCACATGTAGTAAATGACAGCATTATAGGTTTCAGTCACTTTATTTGGTAGTAACTACTGCTGTAAGGAACCTGTCCTTATTTGCATAATATACAGAACATATTTCTTAGCTTGCCAACTCTTCTTTCTCTTATTGTTTTCTCAGATGTGTCTTCTACTCCAGTACCTGTGTGATTGCCAAGTACGACACCGAATAGAAGCCATTGTAGCATTTTCGGATGATTTTGTGGCCAAACTTCAAGAGAATCAACGCTTCCGGTATAATGAAGTGATGCAGGCCTTGAACATGTCTGCTGCCCTGACAGCTAGAAAAACAAAAGAATTTCGATCCCCACCTCAGGAGCAGGTACAACTTACAATGGACAATTTATTTTTTGTTGTGCTGTATGTGTGACGGAGTTCTTCTTTATTTTAACGTTTTTTTCCTTTTGAGATCAGTGTTATTTGCCTTTTGTTTGTATCCTTTAAGATTAACATGCTGCTGAACTTTAAAGATGATAAAAATGATTGTCCTTGCCCTGAAGAAATTCGGGATCAACTCTTGGATTTCCATGAAGACCTAATGACACACTGTGGTAAGTCTTGTTACTTTTTTAATTATATTAACTTTAGAAGCAATTTTTCTAAATAATCTTACATAAGAAACAGCAACTAAGTAGTTTATAGATTACAGTATATCAGTTATAAGTACTATCAAATAAAAATACTCAGCTTGTAGTCAAAACCAAGGAAATGTTCTTATCCTCATATTTGGTCAAACTAGAAGGGAAGACAATATGTTTTGCTTCATGAGGGAAAAGTGGGTTTTTCACCCATACAACTCTGTAGGAATTTCTTTGGGCTTAATGTATTGGATAACATTGTAGCTCACTTGTTATTCGAGGAATTCTTCTCTCCCTTGCACTCCCCTTTGCTGTATCGAGTTGACTATGACCATGTTAACCACAATATAACATATTAGTGGCTGATTCTTCTCAGACATTAATGAAGATATAGAAGTTTATCATCTATTGAAATAGCCTAATAATCAAATGGAGCAGTTAACTTGTGGTTTTGATGTCTTCATTTTAGTTAATAAAAAATAATTTAATTCTATGTCTCATTAAACTGTGAAATATAGTAACAATTTAAATACAAAAATACCAATATAAAAATGAGGTGCCAAAATGTGTATTTTACATGTCAAGCTCATATCCATGAATACTGTGAATTCAGTTATAGAGTAGTTTTGTTTGGAATGCATGCTTACTTACATTTTGCTTTGAGGTTTTTGCTGTTCTCTTGTTTGGAGCATAGTCACCCCTTCATTTTACTTCAGTAGACTATTTAAAAAAAACAAGTAAAAGAGACACTTATCAGACAGCATGAGCAGACAAGCAGGTGAACTTTCACATCATGTCCCATTATCTAGAAGAAGATAAAGCAGGGATGTGTGATAATGTTTTTTTAAAGTAATACTCTGGTCAAGGAAGGAGTTTTGGACAGGAGAATCTCTGCACTTTTCCTCCTGAATTGTATTCCTTATTGATCCCAGTTTAACTGGAAATAATGATTTAACTCATTACCTCAAAATATTCAAATAAAAACAAACATGCCATCAATATCTGACTTCTTCATAATACATGAATTTTCTTTCTTGGTAGAGCAAGCACAGTTGATATCCTTGTGTATCACAAGACAATTTCGTTAGATTGGTCCATCTCAAAGATAATTCTGTTACTAATATAATCACAGATTTATTAAGGTATCAAATATCACAGAAGGTCTTTAATGCAGCCTCCTACTCAACACAGAGTCAACGCTGAACTCAGACCTGGTTGCTCAGCGATTTTTGCACTAGGGTCTTGAAATCTTCTAAGCACAGAGATTCCACAATGTCTTGCAATATGTCACAGGACTTGAATGTCCTAATGGTGATGTGTTCTTTTTCTTTAAGTCAGTTTGGAATCCTGCCTGTTTTAGTTTGACAGTTGTATCTTATTCACCTCAGAAAGGACCATGGCTGCATTTTTTTTGCTAACTTGCTTGTAGGTTTTGGTGGACTGCTATTAGGTCAACCATAAAGCTTCTGTTGTGCAGGTTGACAAAGCCAGTTCCTTCATCCTCGTTTTATAGGACAAGCAGTCCAGCCACCAATCATCTTGACAGGCCATTGTTGGGTGCTCTTCAGCTTTTCATTGCTTTTCTTGTATTGGGTAACCCAAAACTGGATGTAGTATTCCAGATGTCATCTCATGAGTGGCGAGTACCAGGGAATAATCACTTGCCTTGAGCTAGTGATTATGTTTCTGCTAGTACAGCATATTTTTATCTCTCCTTACTGTTAGAGTGCACTGCTGACTGGTGTCTAGCTTGCTGTCCAAGAGGACCCTCCAAGTTTTTTTTGCAAAGATTTTTCTTTAAGCAGTTCATGCCTGGCCTGTATTGTCACATGGGGTTGGTCTGTCCAAGTTTCAAAACTGCATTTGTCCTTGCTGAACTTCAAGTATCCTGCCAGCCTATTCCTCTACCCTGTTGAGCTTCCTGACCCTGAGTGTATTTTCTGCTCCCCCCAATTTGTATTATCCACAAACTTGATGAAGGTGCATTATAACACTTCAAATAAAATATTTTATTTTAAATGAAAAATGAAAAAAATTTAAAAAAGGAAAATTCAAAGTAAACGGTCAGTTGACAGAAAATGAAGATGAAATAAAGAATTTAGAAATAACATTTGAAAGAAGAAAAAACTTTCTTTCTGTTTGATTTTTCTCTTTTTCTGTAGTCTTTTGCCATCATTCTCCTCTGTTCAAATTACTTGGTCTAGTTCTGTCATTATTTTTCTTTTCTGTATGGAGAAATAGTAATTTGCATAATCTCTAAGTAGAAAATTAATTTTGTGGGGTCAGAGGATGTGTCACAGTAGAGCAGAATTAATGACTCTGTGTATTCAAAATATGGCTATTGCAAAATAGGTGAAACAATTACACATCCTGAGCCCTGTGGTTGGTTGATTAGCCAGCCACCATTTGAGGATTCACAACTTGTGAAATGGTCGAGAGACAATTACATTGACAGTTTGCAAATCAGAAAGGTACAACTAGAGCTCAGGGAGCAGCATAATGGTGGGAAAACAGACATTTCATTTGGGTATAATTTCAGAGCATCTCTGTGTTGTAATTGATAAGACATTTCACTGTCTTTACTGTTAATTGGTTTGGTTGAAGAGACTGCCATCCAAAATTATTTTGCAATATGATTTACTGTAAAATACGAAGCTACTGATGATCCTTGTTTAGTTTAGCATCAATTGTTCTCTTAGGACAAAATATAGCAAATACTTAATGCAAAGAAGTCAGACAATTAAAAACATGCAATAAATTGGGAAGAATGACATAATGTTGTGAAGAAACATCCTATAAAATTCAAGTCTGCTAAGGAACTCCCCACGAAACCATTAACTTTAGAACTTACATTGGAAACTGAAAAACCCAGAAAAAATAGTTGAATGACCTTTTTACTTTGAGTGTATTTTACTGTGACTAGTAGGTATAGGTCAAGATTTTTAATTCCTTTGCAATGTATGTGTGAATGAATAAAGTTGAAAACATGAGAGAAATGAGCTGATGGGGATCCCATGAAGTTCAGCAAGGGGAAGTGGAAAGTCTTGCACCTGGGGAGGAATAACCCCATGCAGCAAGGACAGGCTAGAGACCACACTGGAAAGTAGCATTGCAGTAAAGGACCTGGGTATCCTGGTGGACAACAAGATGAGCATGAGCAGCAATGGACCCTTGTGGCAAAGCAAGCCACAGCTGGACTCCCCAGTACAAGAGAGACATGGACGCTGGAGTGAGTCTGGGGGGAGCGCCATCAAAGATGATTACATTCTTGGGGCATCTTTTGTACGAGGAGAGGTTGAGAGGGCTGGGGTTGTTCGACTTGAAGAGAAAGCTCATGAGGGGATTTTATCAATGCATATAAATACCTCTTGGGCAGGGGCAGTAAAGAAGGCTGAGCCAGACTTTCCTCAGTGGTGCCTAGTGACAACACAAGAGTTTGTGGGCACAAATTGAAATACAGGGAATTCTGCTTAATTTTTTTTTTTTTTTTTACTGTAGGGGTGATGGAATTCAAGAACAGGTTGCCCAGAGAGATTGTGGAGTCCCCACCTTAGGAGATATTCAAAACCTGACTGGATGTAGTTCTGAGCATCTTTCTCTAATAAGCATGGAGGCCAGACAAGACGATCTCTAAAGGCTCATTCCAACCTTATCTGTTCTGTGATTCTGTAAAGCCTCACATGCATTTTTTTACATTTTTTGTAGCTTGTTATAGGCATATCCTGAAACAGCCACTTTATTGTGAAGGTGGCTACTTTCTTCTGACTGGTCACTAGGAAGTATATTTATTGTAACATCAGTTCTTTCACTTCTATGAGATATTTTACCTAGAAATCTCCTAGTCATTACTAGTATCAGTTGAACTATACTGTGTCATTAGGGACTCTATCTACACTGCTGAGCTACATATTTCAAAACACAGGCATCATCTTTAGCATTGAAACATGCATATTGGGGGACTTGACCACAGAAATATATTTACTATATATTTTATGTATAATAACACACAATTTATACAAAACATTAATAAGATTACATGATCCTTATCTGCAGTTCCCTGCCTTCCATGTATACCTGATCTATACTTGTTCCAAACTGCTGGTTAAGCATATCCACATCAAACAGGGCAGAACAACATAGTTCAGTTTGATTATGTTTGTACATACAAAATACAAAAACATGTCTGTAACGAGTTTAATTTTATTATTTTACTATTTTGTGTATATTTTTTACTTCAGGAATTGAATTAGATGAAGATGGAACCTTGGATGGAAACAGTGATTTAACCATTAGGGGTCGCCTCCTATACCTTATGGAAAAAGTTACATATCTGAAGAAGAAGCAAACTGAGAAGCCAGTTGATGATGATGCTAAGACATCCTGTAAGCCAAATTAAATCAGTTTATTGTATCCTAATTCCAAACGGCAAAAGAAGCAGGGGAGGAAGTTCTTCATATATTTTCTGCCAAAACAAGGTGGATATTTAGTGAAACATCTGTGCACCTTAAAGTTTGTAGCTCTGACTCCAAACAAGCTCAGATGGAATTTTTGTGATAGGCAGATTTGTTTCCCAATGGGATGTAATGGAAAATTTCTTCTACTGGCTTTTTCGCCCTTGATCCTTTTTCAAGTTATAATTTTTTCCAGAATGTGTCTTGCTGTTTGTGGAGTTAGTTCAGACTTAGTAATTGTAGAAATGTCCTGATTGCTCATAAAATCAGCCACAGCAGCTTCAAATCAGTATTTACATGAAGATTACCAAATTAAAGAAGACTGTGCAATTAGACCGTAATTTGCAAAGGTGTACTTAGGAGAAGCTTCCCCACCCAAACTAAAAGTCAAGATTTGCTGACCGTGGTTGTTGCTCTGTCATTTTTCTGACGCTTTCTGCCTTTCCATCTCGATAAGAACCATTGCCAGTGGCATCCAAGTCCTGCACTTGGTGCCAACTGATTATGGGATTTTATTTATTTTTTACTTGTCAATGCTGATTTTATTTTTATAATTTTTTTGTCTTTATTACGGTGGATGGCACTTTCAAATATCCTGATTTTTTTTATGCTGCCACCCTACCAGTTCTGGGCTCATAGTTTAGGTGTTTCTGACTTTGGTAAAAACTTTGTTTCCATCATTGACTACAGAGGATTACGGGGGAGACTGGCCTTTTAACTTGGTTGCTTAATATAAGTGCCTAAAGTTATGGGATGAGAAGACTTCCCCAGGGTACTTATTAATGAGATGGCTTCTTAGTTGACAGTTATTAGTGTTAGCTTAGTGTTCTTTAAGTAGAAATATTTTTGTCCTGCTAAAAGTGTGCCTTCTGGCTTTGCGGTTTATAACTGTTACTTCAGTTATCAGGCAGTGATAATTAGAGGCTAGGTCTATGTAGAATGTGGTGATGAATCCAACAGTTACCTAATTTTTTTTCTTATAGTAAGCTTAAAGCTCTACAAGATTTAATTCTCTCTCTCATGTTAGTAGAAAGACTGTATTATATTAAACTAATTCGATACAACCCTTCAGAGCAAATAAGCACCCACACAACTCAGTATTGTGGTGGCTAGGCTGCTTGGGTTCTTCATTGCAAGCAAGATAACAGACAGACCCACAGGTAGGTGGGATGCAGTACTGCAGTTACCAAAACAGGAGATAAATGACAGCCTGCTCATGTGATTCGTCACAAAAATCGTAGGAAACTTACTATTATGTTCTGTCTTATTATTTATTTCAGTCCTTCTGAAATATCAGCCCAAACATATTTCATCCTTTTACTTCTTTTTGAAGTGTTTTTATTCTAAAAAATGCTATACTGTGTGATAATGGAAACGCCTGTAATACAGTGTTTGGAAAGTAACAATAAAATCCAGTACTATAGCTCTTTTTTCCTTACCTTGTATTAGCACATCTTCGCACAAATTCTCTTATTTGTTAAACATTCTTTTTTCTGTAGATGCCTGACCCTTCAATATCTTTAAGTACTTTTACTTTTTTGGGAGAGGTTTAGCCTGAAATTGCATGTGGTTTAGTCCAAAATTATATTACTGTCTCAACACATAGATTTCTGTTTGAAAACATTCTTGATATTTGTTCTGCATCAGCCACCGTCTTCAAAGTCTGAATATTTATTAGGCAGTTTATTGAACTTGAGGAGGGATGATCAAATTTCCCTTTCAAACTTCCATTGTTATCTGTTTGATAGGGAAATAAATTGATTGTTAGATAAGTATTAAAGGTCAAATTCTCTAATGTATAACTATCATGATATCTCAAGAGGATCCTGAGTTGATCTGACAAAATCTTGCAAACCTGAATGGAAGTTCCCTCAGATGGAAAAAAGAGCATTATTCAGTTGTCTTTATCAAATACTTTGTCCTGACTGTTAGTTCATGAGTAATTTTTCTAAACTGTAGTCTCAAATCTTAACTGACATTATATAGCACTTTATATATCCCAACTGATAAAGATTGTCTGTGAGAATACCAGCTATGTGTTACTTGCTTCATTAGACACTGAAATCAAAATATTGAAATGATGATTTACCATTTATTTGGTTGCAGTCTCTTCATTTTTATTTCTTTTGAAGGGCCTTTGTTTTTGGCAAAGGACTAAGTTAAATTATTCTGTTTCGTAAATTACAAAATTTTGAATGGTTACAAAGCTTAGACATGTAAATAAATAATACAGCATGTACATGTGCTACCAGTATATTTTTCCAGTCTTATTTCATAATATGTAAGGAGAACCATCAGACCTGAATTCCTGGAAAAATCTTGAAAGCAATACATAGAAATAAATCTGGTGACTTTGTGAGCATCTTGTATGTCTTTATAATTTTTGATGTTATCAAATTTGTTTTCTGTATTTTAATTTTAAATATAGGCTTTGATTTTGAGATGTTTCTGCTTCTCTTGTGTGATTGTATTTTCCTTGGATAATCTGCTAAAGAAATACCAAGAAAAGGTGCTTCTTAAGAACTGAATTCATTCCTCATGTTGCATAATGGGTTCTGAGGGACTACGTAGCAAGATAAGCAATTAATGGTATTTTTGCGATTTATGTATTTTCTTCACAGCTACTCTTCAGCAGTTGATTTCAGACACAATGGTACGCTGGGCCCAGGAATCGGTGATAGAAGACCCGGAGTTAGTGAGGGCCATGTTTGTATTGCTACATCGCCAATATGATGGTATTGGTGGCCTGGTGCGAGCCCTACCAAAGACCTACACCATAAATAGTGTGTCTGTGGAAGACACAATCAATCTTCTGGCATCCCTCGGCCAAATCCGTTCCTTGCTTAGTGTCAGAATGGGGAAGGAGGAAGAGAAACTTATGATTCGTGGATTAGGGTAAATAACTGGAGTGGAACATCTCTTTATTTACAGATATTTGTATGTAAATAATAGTATATTTGCTGTATACTTACGGCCAAGGTTATACATGAAGTTTGAATGTGAATAGTCTATATGGGTGTAAATGCAGACACTGGTATCAGTTGTGTAGTATCTTCATTTGTAAGATAAAAATGCAGATACTTTGCAGCGTTATATGCTTCATTTTTGGAGAGAAGCAAATGACATCTGTAAGACTTCCTGTGAGAAAAGTTGAAAACATGTATGTAATGTTTTATGATATTACAAAATACATCTTGTTACCGTATTTTAAATAGTATGGCTGTGAAGAATCCTATCAAGAATACTGTCCTTTTTATATCAATGCAGTGACTGGTAGCTGTTGATACATGCAGTTCCCTTCAGTAGCCAGCTAATGGAGTTGTGTCTACATGTTCTGTACATATGCCAATGTACATTGCACTGAATATAGTTGGCACTATTTAAACTATGAAGTAGTTCACCAGTCTTATTTTTCATAATTACATGGTTAATAATAGTGAAATACAGTCTAATAGTACTGTATAGTACAGCCTAATAGAATACAATTGCAGAAAACAGTAAAGAAAACATGATCACCTCTACTAGCCAAGAGTTTGGTTTTTTTAATCTTACTTTTTTCAAAGAAATATTACCATCTGGGAGATACGTGGTGAGATTCAGCATCAGCTGTCATCTATTAGAAATCCCCAATCAGCAAGAGCAATGACAACCAAAGATACCATTATAGAAAGAATGCCAGAAATGCAAGGAGAAGAGAAGCTTTTGTTGTGCGATATACCTTTTTCTTTTTTTTTGAGCTTACTGAAAACCTCAAATATCCAAATAATATCTATACCTAGTTTTGTAGTGTCATTATGAACAATGCATACTTCTTAGCTTGCCAGCAGCTCCCATCAGTGTTCTCTGGTTGTTGCGATGCTCAATGTACTCATGCTAAGGCTTTGGCAAAGGGCAAAGTCCGTCACCTGTCAAGAGACACAAAGTGCTCATATTTCTAAATCCACCTTTGTACTTCAAATTTGGATTCTTATATTTCACTTAAGCTATCAAGTGATAAAATGAGTGAGTGGTTACAAGATTCTGGCATTGTTGTGCCTGGGAAAAAACGAATCTCAGAGGGGTTTTCATTTCATGTTCTACTTTCTTTTTGTTCTTCTACATGTTTTTTCCTCAACATTTTCTGCTATGGGTTAAAAGCTAAGATTTAGTGAATCTGATTTAATTGTAAAGGTTTTGTGTTATGTAAAAGTCTGGTGTAAGGAAGAAGGAGTATTTTCTGTTAAGCTAGTGCTCTCACTGCCTGCTCCTATCACCCTTCTTGGTAGCTTCTATCATAGTCTTGTTTATCTTGTAGGTTATCCAGCTGTGCCATTTGTACTTTTTATAGCCTAACCTGGGCTCCGGCATCTATTTAGAAATGCCAGGTTTTTTGCTGCAGGTGGAAAGTATTCCTTCCTTCCAGCTGAGCAATGGAAGTGCCACTCATTCCTTCTTAAAAACTCAGTTTCCTCAGAAATGCCATTAAGATTTTTTTTCTTAACTGAAAAACATTTGACATTTCCTGATGCAGTCCATAGTTAAAAAGTGCGTGTACTTTCCAAAGTAGTGTAATATTGCTGGTCAGCTCCTGAGGTGACATTTTGACTTTCTGTACTGTATTTCTGTAAAAGAAAGCTGCTGTAGACAAGGCAGAGTTTAGAATGACTTGGCAGATTGATACCATCGAGGTCTTTTTACACAGCATGAAGCATTAGTGCAGAAAGGAGATGTGATATGGATAGCTTTTGCAGGCAGGGCCTATCCTCTGCCATCTCTGATATGAAGTCCAGTTGTAGGCTTTGGGGAGAAAAGATCTTTCTGGGAGTTATTGGGAGTCAGTAACTCTGATAGTGCCACCTACGTCAGACATACTGCATGCATGCTCTTTGCATGATTGATAGTTGCGGATTTGTAGCTTTTAAAGTGATGGAACAGTCCTTGTCATGTCTCATCTTTTATAAGGCTGAAATTTTCCTTGCCTGTTTGCAGCAGTTTTAGTAAAAAAAAAAAAAAAAAAAGACCTGATTGCTTTCACAGTTATTTATAGGTTGTGTGTGATTTCAAGACTAATTACAGTTTTTAGAAATTTAATTACTTTTTAAACCAGGCATTTTTATTGGACATAACATGTCTGCATAAAATACTGACGTTATAATCTTCAGGACTGATTTTAAAGTATGTAAATCTGTTCTGCTGAAATATGTAAGAGAAAAGAGTTCTTTTGAGCAGTAACTCATGAACTATGGTTAATATTTATGCAACTTCTGTTTCTGATGCTTAGAGGATAGCTGGGTATACATTCTCTTTCCCCTACAATTGTTTTTTCTTGGTTTTGACAGCAGCTGTCAAATGTCTCAAGGTGGAAATATTTGAAAAACATACTTTCTCAAAATTATTGATTAGTTGAATTTAAAATTTAAGCTGATATAGCAGTTTTGATCATGCTCTTGTCAGAAAATATTTTTAGCTGGAATGGTATTTCTAATGAAAATAGAAGAGCATCCTACTCTGGTGTAATCAAGTGGTGATTAGGGCAATAACTGTAATACGGGAAAAGAAAGGTCAGGTTCTTCCACAATGTGCATAGAAAAATAGACTATCAGGAGAGATTGAGACTGAACCTGAAAAGGTCCCTGAGGTAATTGTTTGTCTCAGGTGGTGAAGAATTGCACAGTACATCAGCTTTGCAAATAACCTAATAGGTAAACTATTGGTCCATAACATTTTAATCCGATTTTTTATTTTGTTTTCCTGTAGAGACATCATGAATAATAAAGTATTTTACCAACATCCAAATCTCATGAGAGCTTTAGGCATGCATGAAACTGTCATGGAAGTGATGGTAAATGTGCTTGGTGGAGGAGAATCCAAGGTAAAGCAATTTACTGTTAGAAGACAGAGAGTTTATAATATATAAGCTTTATCCTGTAAGGTGTTGAGCAATCATTGGAGGTACTGAGACCATAACCTCTTACTAATTTCCATTAACACAATAGTTGACTAAATTTTTAAAAGAACCTGTCCTTCCATTCTGGAGGAAGATATAATTAGCATTGTAATTTCAGATGCTTCAAAGAAAAAACTAAATAGCACTTTATACACTTACTGAATTGTAAAGGGGAGATCTTTTTAGAAACTAATTAAAAATTGATGCAGTATTACTCTCTGGATCTAAGCATTCATGTTCTTTCATGTTTGAATCTAGAATTTATGGATGAATCCAGCTCTTGTTTTTCAAGCTTATACCTTGATCTTTGGGGCTTAAGGAGTTATGTGGGGTAAGGGGTATGGGTGTCTGTGGGGTGTTGGACTAGATGACCTTTAAAGTCCCTTCCAACCCAAACTATTCTATGATGCTATCATTTACTTGCTGAGAAAGCTCTGTTGATTCCAGGGTGAAACCTAAACAATTAACTTCACTGAGGTGCAATGGATATGATGCATAAATATTAGTGTGTTAAAAAGCTGTGACATGAATGATCTTTTGCAAGTTTTATGCCTATCTTAGAGTTTGAACTTCAGTCTGGTTTTATTTTCTTCTTAGGAAATCACTTTCCCAAAGATGGTGGCAAACTGCTGTCGTTTTCTGTGTTATTTTTGCCGCATCAGCAGGCAGAATCAGAAAGCTATGTTTGATCATCTTAGCTATTTATTGGAAAACAGCAGTGTTGGCCTTGGTAAGTAATAGGTGTGTGGCTTTTGAGATTCTAAACCAAAAATAGTTCTAAAAAAATTAGATATATGAATATATATAAGCCACCTGTGTTTTTCTGCATCCCTCTGTGTTTCTCCTTTATGGGGGAAAACTGGGTAAGGTTTCTGTTTTACCCAGTGCAAAAATATCTTCATTAACTGTTTTGTTAACTGCAGACAAACCCCTGACAGTAGCATTAAGTTGAGGCAATTTAGTATATAACTTTTTGTATATGCCTGAATATTAAGACAGAGTTGCTGTTTAATTGCACATTTTGAGTAACAGAATAAGATCCTGATTTTGATGATGAGAATGATAAATATGTTTTGGCAGCATTTCATTAGTGCTTACTTGTCACTGCTCAAGCTTGCTCCCCTGCACTTTCTTCTGTAGACTGTTCAGTATACATCTATGGCAGTGGGAGAAATACAGAGCTCATTTGCTTGGGTATGCGTGTAAAGATGCCCAGAAATGAACCTTGAAATTTTCTTAAAAGGTTAGCCTTTCTTCTCTAGGCTGAAGTGTTATAGAGAAGTTAGATTTATCCTTTATTTAATTTAGTACTTGTAATTGAGAATACTATGATGATTCTAAATAATTATATAATTTTTTTTAAACTATCACAAATTCCTTATTCATGTATAGGTAACAGGATAGAAGTATAAACTAAAAATCTTTTTGGAGAGAAAGTGCCCAAATCAAATGCATTTGGAGTGTTAATATGAAAACGTTAGCTTTTTCTAACACTATAATGACTGCCATTTTTTAAAGAAATAGGTAATATATAATCTTATATTTTAAAGCTTTAAAGATCTATATTTTAGATCTTTTCTGTTTCAATACATTTGATAAAATGTCAGTGCTTTAGATATAAAATCCCTGCTACCTTTTCCTAAAAAGAAGTTGTGTCTGTTAGGAAAATTAGAAGGAATGAGCTCTTGAAGTATGTGATGAGAATAGGAACGTGTAAGTAAAGTTATTTATAGCTTGAACACCGACTTTATATTTTAATTTCATATCAATGTCAAATTTAATATGAGTACATGATGATTTATTATAAACTGAGTGGTATAAATGACATGCTGATAATCATATGCTAACTAATGACAAAATGTTAATGTATTTCCTATGAATTTATTGTTTTTTATCAAGTTGGTGTTGAAACTAAATGTCATTTTAACAGCCTCTCCTTCTATGCGAGGATCAACTCCTTTAGATGTTGCAGCAGCCTCTGTGATGGATAACAATGAACTTGCACTAGCTTTAAGGGAGCCTGATCTGGAGAAGGTTGGTAGCTTATCAAGCATTTTTTTTCCCCTGTAGAGGGGGGAAGATTCCCATTTCCTGGAGTAATCAAAATCCAAGGGTATAAGAATTATACGGGAGTTTTAAGTACCTTTCAGAGGAAGACTATCAGGATCTGATTGATATTTCTGCTGGTGGTCTGGATAGTTGAACTGAGTTTATGGTTATTACCTACGCAGGTGTAACGAGAAGGAATTGCCTCAATTCCTTTTACTTTGGGAATAATGAGTCCATATCCAACAAAACTTCATTACTAGAATCTTTTTTTGTTGTTCTGTCTTCATGGTGACATGCAGTGGTGGCATAATGCAATAGGGATTATTAGAAGCCTTATGACAGTTTGTTACAGCTTGATGACAAATTTTCATAGAGATATCTATCTGTGGTTTTTCCTAATGCTTAAACCTCCTTCAGAAAAGATTGAAGGAATTGGGATTAATTAGACTAAAGAATAAAAAACTCAAGATGTGAGTTTTGTGACGTTACAATTGTGTAGAATATGTAAATTGCTGCTGCAGGAAGGTATAGAATAATAGTTATGTCAGTGGTGGATAAGAAAAGCGGCTTAAATAATGGAAAGATTCAAGATAGACATTAGACAAAAAACACTTTCTAATGGAAAGTAAGACGGTGGAACACATTGTCCAATTTGTTCTTGAAGACCTCCAATTCTGGAGATAATATCAGGAGTAATAGAAGTGTAGATGATCCTTGGAATAGGAACATGGACCATGTATATTTAAAAGGACATTCTCAGACTTATTGTTCTTATAAATGGTCAACAAAATGAAGCTGTCTGAACTGGTTAAAGGCTATGCTTACAATTCTTACAATTCAGAAAGGAGAGGGCCAACTGAAAACTAGTACTGAGAGTATAGGTCTGAATTACAGGGAGTGTTACTGCCGTGTGTTTAAAAAGAAAGCAAGAAAAAAGGCAAGTGAAAAGGAAAGATTAAAATAAAAGAGTAGACCTGTCAGTTGTATTAGAAGACGTGTTTTCAAATATGGATAGTGTGTAGTTGGGGAATAGTACAAAAGTGACTAATTTGTAACAGAGTTGCAAGAGAAATGAGATATAGACAGCAAAGCAGTGATTTAGAGAGAGTAAAAATGGTATTGAAATAAGTAAGGTCTTGCAGTTCATGTCAGAAGTAGAAAAAAACTGGGAAAGTGAACTAAGACAGAGGCTTCTCTTCTGATTTGCCCAAATTATGATATGGTTTTGTAGGGGATAATAGGATGTGGACACCGTATTCGAATCAACACATGAGGATGCTTCACCTTGAAACTGCACTTCTCTTCTTTTTCACAGTTAGTATCTTTTTCATCTGACCTTGCTTTTAGGTGGTTCGCTACTTGGCTGGATGTGGATTGCAGAGTTGTCCTTTGTTGATTTCTAAAGGCTACCCAGACATCGGATGGAATCCAGTTGAAGGAGAGAGATATTTGGATTTTCTTCGTTTTGCTGTATTTTGCAATGGTGGAGTAGAAGCCTATAATTTTATAACTTCCTCTAATATTCACATAAGTTTGTCATTTAAAATAGTAATACAAGCTATTTCATAATTTGTATTATGTTATTTCATAACATAATACAAGTTATTTAATAACTTTTATTACAATAATAGAGGAGTATGTTTATGTGTTTATGTAACTTTGTCGTGATACTTAAACTGTTTTTTAGTTTAAAGTATCTGCTGATGTATAGATTCTGCACTTCTGTGTACCTTTTCCTAATTGTATTTTAGAAGTCTTTTTGATATAATCTTACATCTTGATATTTCTTCTATGTGGTAGGAGAGAGTGTGGAGGAGAACGCTAATGTTGTAGTCAGACTGCTTATCCGTCGACCTGAATGTTTTGGTCCAGCTCTAAGAGGAGAAGGAGGCAATGGTTTACTTGCTGCCATGGAGGAAGCAATACAAATATCAGAAGATCCAACAAGAGATGGACCTTCCCCAAATAATGGGTCTAGTAAAACCCTGTAGGTGCTTACATTGCCATCATTTTTGTTTGTTTTACAATCTTAGTAATGAAATTACTTGTTTGTTTTAACATGTGAATTATCAGCTGGATTCCTCCTTGGATCCTATGGAGGGTAAAGATTTGTCTTCTGCCAAATAGTGCTTCCTCTGCACTGTTAATTTAAGTAAATCTCTCTAGATATTAAATCCTCTTTAGAATTCTGTTTTTTCTTTGTCAGTCAGTTAAGAATCGTTCCGCTGATGCAAAATGAGACAGATAAATGAATGCAGATGTCACTACAATCTTTTAGGGACAACTTCCATTCCGTGTTAGTCTGCTAAAAGTCTACTAGTTAACAGGAAGATACTATGTGTAAGCTGTTACACCTATGAGCAGATTTTTTTTTTAATTTATTGCTGATGTAAAAACTTTCTTGTATTTTTTTAATCTTTTAATTATTTTAACATTTAACTAATTGCAGGGAAATGGAAGAACAAGAAGATGACACTATTCACATGGGAAATGCAATCATGACCTTTTATGCTGCTTTGATTGATCTCTTAGGACGTTGTGCCCCTGAAATGCATGTAAGTTTTATGTCTTCATGCATTGGGAAGTAAAGGCATAGTTATTTTACTGATTGTTTCGTGGTTTGCTGTTTGGCTTTTTCACAGTAACATGTTATCAAGTATTAAAGCAGTGGTATGGCTACATAGTATCTTAATGTACATAATGTGTTCCTCTGCTGATTTGCAAGGAATTTCTGTAAACTATTCAGAAACTGTTCTTCTTAAAGGAATTATTCCATTGCTTTTCTTATTACTGCTCCCTGTGGTTAGCGTTCAACAACGTTCTGTCATGAATATTGTTTGAATGTCCATTGTGACAATCAAATTTCCCTATTTATTGTGAGGTTGTAGAGTGATTATTTTTTTTTAAGCATGGTTTTACTGTCTTCGTATACTTTTTTAAACAAACTGTTTAAACTGCATATTAAACAGTAAATGTTGTGGGTAATTCTTTTAAAACATAGCAATAAGCATTGTCCCTGAATATACATATCAATATCTCATAATCTTTATTCACACTGACAAACCTTCTCAAGGGTGAGATATCAGTATTTCAGGCATTACATACAAATTATTAGACACTCATACTGTAAAAACCAAGCCCTTATCACTTAGTTCCTAAGAGCTTGAGACTGTCTGAAAGTATTTGTTGTTTACGATTCAAAATACTTTCCTATTCTTCAGAAATTCTACTTAGTTATGCAGTGTTTGTCATTTCGCTCTGAAATGTGCCCTAATTCATATAGATCAGTATCAGATTTGTGCAGAGATCAGTAACTTAAGAAAGGGGAGAGATCAGTATCAGATTTGTGCAGAGATCAGTAACTTAAGAAAGGGGAGAGATATCCATATAATAAGGTCAGTATATGAATATCTGCTTTGTTGGAATAAAAAAATTGTCTTGTTTTCTCCCTGTCTTGCTTCCATATTAAAAAACAAAACCAAAATAACTGGGATACTTGAAAATGTTGTTATTTGGCCAGGACAGTAAAACAGGCTTTTTAAATCTGAAAATTTTCTTTTGCTTTCTTTGTGCACACCCCCCACCCTATGCTATGATTTGATGGTTTGTTCACCTATTTTTACCTAACATTCCATTCTGAAGATCGGTTTAGTCTTATTGAAATAACCAAACATCTAGATTTCTAGACTTTGCACATTTGAATTCAAAATACAGCAAATAAACACAGACTGTGTGAAATTTACATTATTAATTATAATGCATGTTTGAGAGCAGTCATTCTTGTTTATCTATGGTTCAGGAAGTTTCCAGAAAATGAACACATGATACAAAATAAAAAGATGACCTGGTTAATTTTTTGTTTGTCTTTTCCTTAGCTAATCCATGCTGGTAAAGGGGAAGCCATTAGAATCAGATCAATTCTACGGTCTTTGATTCCACTGGAGGATTTGGTGGGAGTAATTAGTATTCCTTTCCACATGCCAACCATAGCTAAAGGTAAGATGATTATTCTGTTTTTTTTTCTCCCGACCCATTCTTATGTTTTGTAATTTAACCACGTACTGATACTCCTATTTCTCTCAGTATTTAAAAATGTTATAGAAATTAAACTGTTTCCTAGATGAATTAGAAGAGAAATTATGTGTATTTCAAACGTGTTTCAAAATTTTTTCTGCATTTTATAGGCAATAATTCTGTGTACAGTTAAATCATTGATGTAAATCCCATTCATTTAAATTAAATCATGAAAATGTATTACAGCTTACAACTTTCTAATTTTCTAAAATATTTTTTAAAAATTGCGGTCTCTTTTCTTGATAACATAATACTTAGCTTTTACTGCTCTAACCCTATCAATTGTTTCTAGCAGATTTTACTAAAGACACCAGAGTTGTTCTTCAGCAACTATGGTGAAGTTATAGGTGTGACATACATATGCAAATGCATTTCTTCGTGTTTTCTGCCTACATAGAATTGATTGCAATATCAATCAATTGATCAAACACAAGCAGGAGCTATGTGAGCATCAGTATAAAAGGGAAAGGAGTTATATATGCTTCTTTGGGTATTTGGGAGAACTTTATAACTGGATTGTTTAGGGACTTACATCACAAGAATGCCAAATAGATTACAGTAGAAGAGATAAAAAGATGAATCATTCTATTACACCATTTTTTATTTATATTCCAAATAGTGATAGATCTATAGGTGATATCTCAGAATCGCAGATACAGAACTGTTTATTTGGTTTTGGAAACGAAAGTATCAAAATATTGCAAACTACTTCCTTTATATATATAAAAATATATATATATATCAAAAAATATTGCAACAACTTTGTCTCAGTTATTTCAGAAGTTTTCAGATACAGAGGATTTTTTGGCACAATCTTAATTCATTGTCGTACATTACAGATATGATCACCAGTGCTGCATTCCTGGGGTGTTTGATGTAGAATTGTTGTATTTTTTACCTTCTGTCTGCTTCTTCTAAGAACTAGGTAGTTCTGCAAATGAGTTAGTATGTTTTGGGTACTCACTATATTAGAATATCAACTGATACACCAAGTATGAACAGAAAAGCATGTATTGACTTTGAGGTCTATGGGGGTAGAATTTGCCTTATGTATTCATATTCAGTTAACTACAAATGTGTTGCCTTTGTGTAACAAACCACGGGGAAGATGCTTTGATATTAACAGAGACTCAAAGTCTCTGACAAGTAGTAGCACTGCCTAGTCTGCTCGTGAAGGATGATCCTTGTCATTGAAGTCTTATTTCTTCCTTTTAGATGGTACTGTGGTGGAACCTGACATGTCTGCGGGGTTTTGCCCAGATCACAAGGCAGCCATGGTTTTGTTCCTTGACAGGGTCTATGGAATTGAGGATCAGGATTTTCTCCTACATCTTCTTGAAGTTGGCTTTCTGCCAGATCTTCGTGCTGCTGCTTCTTTAGATACAGTAAGGGTTTAAGTCTGTTGTTATTTCTGTACCATTATCCTACTGAACACTGCAGCATTTTTCATCCCTCAAAAAAACATTTTTTTATTTCTTCATGTTGTCTTCTGCATTTCTCAAATGCTGGATGAAGTGCTTGTTGTTGCTGAGCTTTGAGAATACTTGAAGAACAGTGAAGAAGCATTCTCCAGAATGGTGCTCACTTTATAAGAGAGCCCCCATTGATACCCATATCCATAAGAGATGCAGTGCCTTTCCCTAGGAAACTTTCTGAGCTTGTGCTATGGAATCAAAATCAGATAAGCTGCCAGTGAAGCATGTAACTGATTGCCCCTTTACAGAGATTTACAGAAAATGTTCATCTCCATACGTTTGTTAGGCACACTTACATTGTTATTTAGGAAATCACTAAATTTTTTTTTTTGTTCCTCCTTAAAATTGCCGCCTTTTTACTGTGAGGCTTATTTCCATCTGATTTTTCTTAACTGGCTTGGTCCAGAAAGATGGGATTTAGAGAGCTTATATGAGGGCTAAGAGATGGACTTTGATTTCCTTATTTGGCCTTTTATGACAACAATTTTCTGAAAATAATTATGTTGCTATTTAAGAAACAGCAGGTGAGAATTTTTTCCTCACTTTGAACTTGGGCTTGATTGTGCCACAGAAACATACTGAGATTTGTAAATGCATACTTGACTGATACTACCTGATTTTGGACTGTTCTGTTAAGCAACTATGATGTTCTTTAATATAGTCTTGAAAATGGTTTTGTTTTTGAATGACTACCTTTTAGTATTTATGTTTTCATTCATTCAAAACAAAACAAAAGCCATCTGTGAGACTTTAGAAGCAGGAAAAAAACCTAGGTGTCCAGCTTCCAGTAGGTATCAAATCCTTATTTGTATGTCTTGGAGATTTTTGTTTGTAACAACATTGATGAGACTAATCTAATTTCTGTCCCATTTAATTCATAGGCTGCTTTAAGTGCTACGGATATGGCTTTGGCTCTGAATCGATACCTTTGCACAGCAGTCTTGCCTCTGTTGACCAGATGTGCTCCTCTTTTTGCTGGCACAGAGCACCATGCTTCCCTCATCGATTCCTTATTACATACAGTGTACAGACTCTCAAAGGGATGCTCTCTTACCAAAGCTCAGCGAGATTCTATTGAAGAGTGTTTACTGTCTATCTGTGGGTAAGAAAATACCTCTGGCTGTACAAGAATGCTAATTGATTGAGTAACCTATGATATTTATAATACAGGAATGCAGGGCTATGCCACCAATAGCATAATTAATTTTTTTTGCTGGCAGATGATTGGGATATTTTTAAATACACTGTATTCAGTTTACAACTTTATTAATCACTCATATGCAGTCCTCAGTTACTTTGCAATTAACCGGTTTTTTAAATTAAACCCGTGGCAATTAACTAAGAGGACATACTGCAAAAAGGACAGAGCTCTGGAAATGCGGAATTGTGTATGCACTGAAGTGCCATTTAAATACTTCTAGCTGTACAGATTGGCGGTATGGTGCGTGATCAGTAGACTATACAGTTCTATGGAGATACTATTTATGTTGTGTTACATTTCAAATCCTAATGAATTACTAGTATTGTTATACCTCATTACTGACACATATAGGACAAATTTTGTCTGAGTATCTGCAGTCTCAAAAACAGTTGATTATTCCTTTTTTTTACATAAGCCTACAGGCTCAATTATCAGTAGTTGGCTAGACACTTCTGACTTCAATTTCTGATTAAACTTAGCAACATTTAGCCTTTCAAATTGCCAGAGTTGGTCTTTTTTCAATATTTTATCATACTTTTTTGCATAATGTGGAAAAGTATTCAGAAATGACAGACATTTATATTATAGTCCTGTAAAAAAGTACTGTATAGCATTTATTTATAAAATATATCACATTGACTATTTTCTCTATATACTACCTTAATAAGAACCAGTAAAGTGGACCAGTGTTTGCTATTTATCTGGAAAGCTTTAATGTCTGTGCCATTCTAACATACACGCTATACCTATTTCTTCTGTCCTTCCAGTTGGTGCCCACTGCTGCATGTCTTGTTTAATACCTCTAAAGAGTTAGTGCTCTTAAGTCTTTATTAGTCTTTAAGATCTTTTTAAGAGCCATTGAGATATATTACAAGAAATTAACATTATAGCCTTTTCTCATGGGCATGGTGGTCATAATAGTCAATATCAAAATTCGGTATTTTTTTCCTGGATTTTCTTGGTCTATAGATCAGATATTTTCTCTGCTTCTGTAAAACATTTGATTTGCTGCTTGTTCAGAAGGTTTTCTTTGGTATGCACTTGTTTCCTTTCTTTTGGACACGTTTTTTAGTGCACTAGCAAAATCCTATTACTTTACAAATTTGAAGAGTTTTAATGGCATAAGAACTGACAAGTTTCCTTAGTTGTATTAATTATTTACATGAAACTATGCTGGTACGCCTTCTTGAAAGGGTTTGTCTGCTTTTAGGCAGTTGCGGCCTTCCATGATGCAGCATTTGCTGAGAAGATTAGTATTTGATGTTCCTCTATTAAATGAACATGCAAAGATGCCTCTCAAGGTAAAAATACATTTTAATATTCATCAGCATTCCTTGAATCAAAATCCAAAGGAAAATACCTGCATGGAGAATATTCTCTGTCATCTTTGTTATCTTTTCTCCACTCTGCAATAATCTAAGACCATAGTTTCTGAAAGATAAATTGCTTCTTCACCAGGAATTTAGTAGAATTTACGTCTATCCATATGGAATAATGAAGTCCATGTCTAATGTTTGCTTCTCCTTTAATTATCTCCTTTTTTTTTTAAAGCCCATATGCAAACAGAATAGAAAGACCCTTGGGGGCAGGAGGCAGAATCCAGTGCACAAAGGAAGATCACAATTTATAGGCTTGCTTCTGCCCTCTGTGCTCGTTTTCTCTGCTTTTGGGAAACAGACTCTTTTTCTGTGGTTTGCGCCTGGAAATCTAAGCCATACATGTTTTTTAATAATCTTCCATTTTGTTTTCAGCCCTCAAAGATTTGTCCATATTTTTTGATTATCATTCCTAGTCATCCTTTCTGAGATGACATATTCATTAAAGATTCCTCAGATTTAGCAGTTCTAAGAAACATATAATTTCCCACCTTAACTACTGCTGTTTTTCAGCAATGTTTTTTAATGCTTTCATGCCACAACTTTGAACGAGGTATTTAATGTTTTCTTATTTAATTCTTTAGTCTTTCAAAGCCACATATTTGCATTAATTGTATTTTACATTTTATTTCTTTGCCAAAATACTTCTCAGAATTACACAGGCTTCTACTAGCCAGATTATGGTCTCTGACCTCAGATGAGGAATTTAAGTCATTAGTTTCAAGGGCAGGACCTGCTGCATAGTCTTTCCCCTGCTGAAGAAGTCACAATTTGATTGTGTCCCCCAAGAATTACTGAATCAAGCTAAAGATGCTGGAACAGCCATTCTTTAGTGCCTATGTGTGAGAAAAGCAGTTGATAATTTAGTATACTGCCCTGAAGGGGACCTTTCTAATGCATTATGACATATGTGCTGCAAAAACCAGAGTAACTTGGCGTTCCCTTCATGGCTATGGTTCTTTGGGGTTTTTGGGGGTGCAAAGGACAATCCCAGCTTCTTGAGATCTGTTCATCTAGGACAGCAGGTTTTTCGATCCTGAGGGTCATGACTGCAGTGACTTTCCCATATTGCTGAACTGAACAGGAAAGAAATAATAATTAGAACCTTTTTGGCAAGTCAGGCTTTGGGAGAATATAGATATGAAGAGAACCATGGTCTTAGCATGGGCAAATTATTTTGTCCACTGACACCTAAACAAGTAATAGGAGCTTCTGAGGAAAGTGACCTTTGCTATTGCCAAAATTTTGTTTGGGATTGTCTTTACTGACAGATCTGCAACTGATTTTTCTGCTTCTTGTCTGTGACTCAGGGACATAAAGGACACATTAAGTGTAAAATTTGTGATGTTTCACTTGGGCAAATACCCAGTAGTAGGTCCTTGTACCATTTGAGTTCCTGATAATCTGGAATCCTGTAACAACTTACGAAGACAGTATCCCTGAAATATGCATTTAATGAAAGAGTGGGAAAGAGGATAAAGCTCCTCTTCCAATTGTAATAGAGGGCAGGAGGGTAGAAGAGGTGAGTCACACTGGGAGTTATCGCTGAATAGCTCTCAGTCATGTAAATAATAATGGGGAACTAGGCGAAATCATGGTTCTACTATCTTAGCCATCAAGCAGCAGTGTTCGGAATAGTGGCACACAAGTGAAGGTGGATTCTTGTCTTCAGCTGAGCTGTCAGAGTTCTTGTCGTGTTGGGGAAAATTATCCTCTGTCACATGCTTTTTGCATATGCCACTAATGTTAAAAGACAGAACTGCTCATTCTGTGTGTATATTCACCAATGATTTAAACAATACATATACAACATGGCTTCTTGATAAAAGTTAGAAATTTTTCTGGCAGTGTGTGTGTAATGGTTGAGTGCCAGAATGGAAGAATATCAACAGTTATATTTTATTTGCTTTCAAAATATGTTCTGTTTTAGTTGCTGACAAATCATTATGAAAGGTGTTGGAAGTATTATTGTTTGCCAGGTGGATGGGGTAGCTTTGGTGCTGCCTCAGAAGAAGAACTCCATTTATCCAGAAAGTTGTTCTGGGGTATTTTTGATGCCTTGTCTCAGAAGGTAATTAATTTTAATATCCATCTACTACTGTAAAAACCTTACTGTGTAACCTTTTTTCTTTAAAACATCGTTTTAGCCCAGCTTTTATCAACACTGTAGTATCCACTTTAAAGGGAAAAATATAGGCTTTAGTAAATTTAAATCTTCCTCTTATAGCTTCTGCTTTAACATAGATGTACCATTTTGTCTGCTCATAGAAGAAAATTATATAGCTAATGAAGTCATATTGAGGTGTATCTGTATGGGTCAACTACACTTTAGAGCTCTAAAAGCGAATCAGGCATCTGCAGGTGACTGAAAGCTGCACTTTTTTTTTTCTACCTTAAACCTTAGAGCATAGTCCTTTGCTTACTAGTTGTAGTTTCATCACCCTTGAGTCAATTCTGTGTCTTAATAATACACCTTGGTATGTATTTGTTATTCATTCTGTGAGTATTTTTAACCAACCTACTTAAAACTTCATGAGTTTAATTTTAAATCTAGGTATTTAGAAATGTTGTGCATGTTCCTGTGCTATGTTGTCTTCCCAGACATCTAAAAAAAGCCTAGTGTTGCTACCAGTGAAGTCAATACTTCTATTTACTTCAGGAAGAGCAAGACTTGATCCTAGCTTTATCTATAGTGTATAATATGCTATCGATAGTCGGTTTCCTTTATTTTCAGAACAAAAATTCAATTTCATACTAAGAAAACCATTCTGTGGCAACTTGGTTTCACATATAGCTACACTAGTTTCAGCAGTGATGCTGATAGCTTCCATTCATTATTCACTTTCTAACTCCTGTGTGTTCCACAGAAGTATGAACAGGAACTGTTCAAATTGGCTTTGCCTTGTCTGAGCGCAGTTGCAGGGGCCTTACCTCCAGACTATATGGAATCAAATTACGTCAATATGATGGAAAAACAGTCTTCAATGGATTCAGATGGGAACTTTAATCCTCAGCCTGTTGATACATCAAAGTAAGGAATTATTTTGCTGCAATTAGTTTTTTATTATGAATGTGTAAAAGAAGGAGGGAGTCTGTTGTTGGGTATGATGTGAGCTTACAGCTTTTATTCTCATCTGAACGCTTATCTTCTAGAAAAAATGGAGGATGTAACTTTATATTTTAATTTTTTATTTATATATTTTGAAGTCATATAAAGGAATAAATATCCAGTTACATAACTTAATTTTCTTGTCAACCTAAAACATTTTTAATGCATTTTCATCCTGAAGGTAGAAGTGTCCAGTTACCTTTGTATGTTTGCTGCAAACAAACCAGCATGTTTTTAGGAGCAGAAAAAGTAGACTAGTCTACATCATCCCCGTCATTATTAACATGTGCCAAGACACTAATTTCAGTGTGTGTGAATGACAGTGTACCTACAGAAAACAATGATGTTCATGCATTTGTGTAATTTCTTTTTACTATGAATAATGGGGAATTGGACAGAAAGATCTTCATTCTTTCTAGGCAGTAAGACCCTGACTGTGCTCTTCTAAGCACATTAGCCAGACAAAACACATATCGGAATGGGATTTTTGTGCCCTGATTTTTAACTACAGCAAGTGCCCCATTCTTCTTTGTAAGAATAGAATATTCTTACAGCAGTGTGATTATGCACTATATCTTGAAAAATGCCACTTGTAAGACATTTGTTCTGTTGCCTTTGTGAGCTTCGTGTCTGTATTAACATTCAGAGCACAGAATGCCATCAGTAGATTGATACCTTTTTTACAGCATGCATGTACATGTATGCTGTTGCGAATGGGTGATTTAGATCACCTAAAGAACCACTGTCAAAGGTATTAGCAAACATGGTTTTAATATGATGTTGTAAAAGTGTGTCTTAACAAAGTTTGATGTCAAGGTTCACTCTAGTACTGTACAGCACAATCATTTGAACAGTGGTGTAAAACTACCAAGACACAAAGCAGTTACAGTTACCAAGGCACAAATGGAAGTTACAGTACTACAAGGTTACGTGTGATACTGGTCACTTACCAAAGGTCTGCTGTTGGTAAAAGGTCTGTCTGCCTCAAGGAGCAACCTTGAGAGGTGTCCCAGTGCAAGGGGAGATCACCGCCAATGGAGCCACACTGCCTAGCAGGGGTAGCTCAAAGAAGTCTCACTTAGGCTGTCATACTTATGGAATAAAGTGGTTGGCTTGTAGTCAAATTACATGTGATGGGAAAGGTATGCATGAGACTCCTTGTAGTCACAGCTTTCTTTGTTCCTTGATAAATGAGTCTTGGAAAAGCCAAGCTGATATGCATCAATGCTCAACATGTCACTCTGCTCCTTTTTGGGTTTTCAGAGAACAGATTGCCACTAGAGGAGTTCTTGGCCTTTTTACAGCATAGGCCTTTACCACCTTTGGAGCCGGTACCAAACTTCTGCTAGTTTGGTTAAGGGGTCAAGTGCATCCATCACGTGTGCACATCAAAATATAGTAGTAAAATAATCTAGACTGCAATGTAGAAATCACATCAGTGACCATTAAGTTGTCTAAGATGTATTTAAGATACATGAAGATTTAACAAAATTTAGTAAGGATATTATGCTATCATTTAACTAATTGAAGATGACTTTATCTGGTGTTATTTCAGAGGAAAATTGTATATAGCCAGGATATATTTGAGAAACTCAGAAAAAGTTACTTAACATTAGCTAAATCATCAGTCACTTCGTTGCCATAGGAGTCTAACAGTTCTGTGATGCACTACTTCTATCAGTGTCTCTTCCAACCTATCCTATATCCTTCCAACATGCAAATCCTGCATCACATGGCTTGCTAGTCCTAGACTGATTTATATGAAGTTTATTGTACTTGCCAATTCTTTGCATTTCTGAAATTATTCGAAGTATTTACTATTAGTAGAGTTCCTCTTGAACATCACACTTCCAAACAATGAAAAACTGAATGACCATGCTGGATGAATATTTTCTGGCCTTTGTGTGTGGTTAGGCTCTTGCAGACCATTACTCTGACATAATTTTGTTTTATATTTCTGCTTTTTCCCCACCCTATGACTGAAGATTAAAAACCAGCCTCTTCTACTTTGCAGTAGATGGCACTGTAACACTTTTGCTGCCAAAATTCTTTGTTGTAGAAGGGAAGATTTTGCTATTTCATAAGTAATCAAGAAGCAATTATTCCCTTTCATTGGTAGGAATGCACATGCAGAAAAATACTGATATTTGATACATTATTTTTGGAAGAGGATTCTGTCTGTAGCGCCTGTTTTGACAGTTAAGGATAGCTACTTCTCCTTTACTGCTTAAGAAACCTTAACTTCTGCACTGTCTTGTACATCTGTTGAAAAGCTAGTGTATTTATTTGGGGTTTTTTCTATTTTTAATAAGGCTTTTAATGTTTTTAATATTCATTGGGGTGTTGGAAAATAAAACCTTGAGCATATAACTTTTGAGTTGTCATAAGTCATAGTGCTTCAAGCATATAATAAAATTTATATTAGTGTATAAAATAGATGATATGTTTCAAAAAGGACTGTTACCACACTAAGTTTGTAACAGACATGCAATAAGTTACCATCATATTTCTGAAACTGTGGGTCATAGTTACATCTTTAATCTTAAGAAAATTAATGTTAGTAATAGAAATATGTGACAAAAAACATTAATGCTCAGTATCATTATTGATTTCTTCCCTGCACATGTGTGTGGAAGAAGTAAAATTCCCACAACAGCTGTGGTTCTCATTAATTGGCCATTAAATAACTCAGCTTTTTGCTTTGATTTAACTGGGGCTTGGAGCAACCTGCATGTGAGGAAACAGAGCAGAGCAAGATGCTTGGAATGGATGCACTACTAATTATTTGTTTGAACATCTTCTTCAAAATAAAAGCATTCACATTTTCGCATGTGTGATATAATGGCTATTTTTATCTTCACTTTCAGCATTACAATACCTGAAAAGCTAGAATATTTCATCAATAAATATGCAGAACACTCTCATGACAAATGGTCAATGGAAAAGGTAAAATCTATATTCCTGTTAAAGCAAAATCAAAATTTTTATTTCAGTTCATTTAATCTTTAAAATATTTTACTCTGAATATTATTATTTTTCATAATGCTACAAGTTGGTATGTAGGTAAGATATAAACGATATTTTCTTGAAATGCATTTGAGGGAAAGTTCTGGAAGTGCACATGTGTATTTCAAATACAGTTTCATCATTTCATTATTTTTATTGTTCACTTTTGAGTAAATATACTTACTAATTGTTTAAGAATTGTATTGACTTGAAATTTCAAATCTTTAATGGAAAAAACTCTTTAAGGTTTTTTTTCCTTTGTCCGGTTTGTGCCCAGTATTAAAAATAGTTCCTCAACTGTAGCTCAGTATTCTGCTCTATATAAATATTTTAAAAAAATGTATTGAAATGTTAGCTTTGTGTAATCATTAATTTTCAAAAAGATGGCAGGCTACATAATTAATTTCATTATGCATAGATAATATAAATGTTGGTTGAGAAAATAGTAGAAAGAAAATTTTAAGAACAGTTCTGCAGAAGCATTTTTCAGTTCCTTTGTACCAATAAAAATAGGATTTTTCATAATTTTTTGCTTTTCCCCATTATTAATTATTATTAATGTTTTCAGTTTGCCAACGGATGGACATATGGTGAAACGTATTCTGAATCCGGAAAAGTGCAACCATTAATGAAACAATATAAGTTGCTATCTGAAAAGGTAACGAATTTGTTCATTCTTGATCCAGGTTGAGTGAAAGATTTATTCATTCACTGTGAAAACATCAACTTATATTTACATTACTTTTTAAAAATTTTTAGCGTACATCAGCTAATGTGTGATCTCTGCCTTCCTCAAAATCTCAAAAAGAGATAGAGGGTTTATTTTACGATAAATAGGCCATTCAACATATTCATGGATGAATTTACACAGCATAACTTACGGTGAAACTGAAGTGTCATATAGCCAGTATATTTTTACGGTAAGGTCATACAGGAATGCATACTTGCTTAGTGAAGACTTAGGTTTAGGCTTTGTCTGGTCTCCAGCAGAGGGCCACCAAGATGATTAGAAGGCTGGAGAACTTGATAAATGAAGTAAGGCTGAAGGAGTTGGGTTTGTTCAGCTTAGAGAAGAGAAAGCTAATGGGGATATAATCTCAGTTTCCCAGTACCTAAATGCTAGTTATAGAGAAGATGGATGTATTCTCTTCACAGGGATTCACAGGGGTCCACAGTGACATGACAAGAGGCAATGGGTGTAAGTGAGGGGTCTGGAGCACAAGTCTTATGAGGAGCGGCTGAGGGAACTGGGGTTGTTTAGTCTGCAGAAGAGGAGGCTGAGGGGAGACCTTCTTACTCTCTACAACTACCTGAAAGGGGGTTGTGGTGAGGTGGGTGTTGGTCTCTTCTCCCAAGTAAGTAGCAATAGGACAAGAGGAAACGGCCACAAGTTGCGCCAGGGGAGGTTTAGACTAGATATTAGGAAAAAAATATTTACTGAGAGAGTGGTCAAGCACTGGAACTGGCTGCCCAGGGAGGTGGTGGATTCACCATCACTGGAAGTATTAAAAAAACGTGTAGACGTGGCACTTTTGGGACATGGTTTAGTGGGCATGGTGGTGTTGGGTTGATGGTTGGACTTGATGATCTTGAAGGTCTGTTCTAACCTTAATGATTCTGTGATTCTGTGAAGTTGATTCAGCAGAAATGCTTCCTGGAAGTCCTTCTTATCTTGACAACTTATACATTCGAATAGGTTGTCCAGAGAAGTGTTGAAATCACCTGTGCTGCAAATATTCAAGGCATAATGTGACCAGCCCTAAATAACCTAATCTTTATTACCATTGATAGCCCAGTTAGATTAGCTTATCTGACCTCAACAGAAGGTTGAGCCAGATGATGTCCAGAGGTCCATCCAACGCAGACCTTTTTTATGATTCTGTGATTATGTTGGTTTGTGTCATGTAGCAGACGAAACACTGCATTACTCCTGATAATTACTGCTCCACCTTTGAGTTCATATCTGAGCACACCATTAACACGGTTATCCCTGTGATAATCAGCTTCCTGCATGGCTAGAATTCTTCTGCCCACCTCTGAAATGATAAATAAACTTTTAAATATCTTACATTTGCTGCTTTGCAGTATCACTGAGCAATAAGGGCTGATTTCAGTACATTTCTTTGAATCTTGGTATAACTAGGCAGAAGCCCAATAGTTATTTTTTGCTCTGTACAGCCACATAATAAGCAAAACCATTATTGCATGTGCATTCTTCTAGGAGAAAGAAATTTATCGATGGCCAATCAAAGAATCACTAAAAACTATGCTGGCATGGGGATGGAGAATCGAAAGAACACGGGAGGGAGATTCCATGGCACTGTATAATCGGACGCGTCGCATATCTCAAACCAGTCAAGTGAGACATTTTATTAAAAACTTACTTTAATAAAAGGCATGTGAAATCTGCTGTCCAATCTTTGATTCTACAAGTGATGAAATAAACCTGTAGCGTAAAAATATGTGAAAGTGTTTTTCACAAGCAGTTGTACAACTCTGAAGATTCGTTTGGGTGCCTATTCACTGAAGCTGAAACTTTCTTTCCCTGGTCCAAAGTAATATGTTAATAAACATTTCCAAAAAACTGAACAAAACTGAAATAGGAATGTATTTGTTCTCTTGATTTAAAGTTAACTACATTAATTAGAGGAGTTATTTACATCAGTAGGTGATTACATATTAAAAGTGAGTATTAATACGATTTTAGTCTGTTTTTTTTTTTTAATTTGGTGGCTATGGATGCCTTTAAGCATGTAAAGAAATAAATAAAGGTACATATAAAAATTATTTTTATTTCTTTTTTTAAGGAAAGTTAATACAAATATCAATGTTAATGCAGCATAAAGTTTACACCTACAGACAAAATTCTGATAATGTGAAAGATTGTTTTTTTTCCGTTAGCCTTCTTAAATCAAAATACTGTAAAGATAAAGTAGAGAAATACTGGCACTGTATTTTCTTAGAGCTCCATACACTTTGCAATTAAACTGGGGAGGGAAGAAAATCTTTCTCTCTCATTCAAACAGACACACATGGAGCCAAACCAATTGGGGAAATAAAATGGAGGGGAAAAATCTTTCCCTCTTCTCTCCACTCAGCTCTGCAGTGTTTACATGTGTGAGTGGTGATATGCCTGTTAAAAAAGAGCAATTGAACCTGCCTCTCTACTCTCTATAGGCGCTAGAAAGTGTATATCAAGTGATTTGATTTAGCACTTGTGCTAAACTACACATTATAGTTTGTACACTATAATTGCTTTCCAAAATTCTTGTCTTCCAAATTTCCCAATATTTGTGTTTTTATAATACCAGCCTCAAAGAATATATACTGACAAAGATATTTGTATATATTTTATAAGCATGAGGAGCTCATTAAGAATGAATAGCTTTACAGCTTTATTTGAGTACATATTAATACTCATCCTGTGTTTAAATGTGTTGTGTTGTCATTACACACATGTACACACAATAGCATTTTTCTGTGTTCAGCTGAGAAATTTTAAGTATATTTAATCAGTATCTTCATGTTAATGTAACCATGTTTGCATTGTTTGCTTTAGAAAACAATACTTCATCAGTATTTATTTACTGTGTGCTGTTTGTATGTCCTTTGTGTTATTCTCTATTAACAATACCTGCTGTTTGAAAGGAGGCCTTTGAACTTGTAGGCGTTGTACATCCTCATATACATGCATATGAAAATAGTATCAGACGTGGAAACAAAATTCTGGACATTGTTCTTTCTAAAGGAAGATGTACCTGTGGGGGACATGAGTTTTATCTGTTACAGCAGAATCCATACACAAAAGCCCAGCAATGCTCTAGTTGTCTACTCGGACTTTAGTAAAGCCTTTGACAGCATGTCCCACAGCCTTCTCCTGGAATAACTGGTGGCTCGTGGCTTAGAAAGGTGTACTCTTAGCTGGGTAAAGAACTGGATGGACAGCGGAGCCCACAGAGTTGTGGTGAACGGAGTTAAATCCAGTTGGTGGCAGGTTACAAGCGGTGTTCCCCAGGGCTCAGTTTTGGGGCTGGTCTTGTTTAATATCTTTATTGATGATCTGGATGAGGGGATCGAGTGCTGCCTCAGTAAGTTTGCAGATGACACCAAATGGTGTGGGAGTGTTGGTGGGAAGGCTTTGCAGAGGGATCTGGACAAGATGGATCGATGGGCCGAGGTCAGGTGTATGAGGTTTAATAGGGCCAAGTGCCAGG